GTCGCGTTTTGTACGACACTAGCCATGAGGACTATTTGCGAACAAAATTAATAAGTTCAATATGGGAGGAAGTGGCAAAGGAAAGCGATATGAAGCTAGCAGAAATAATCGATTCAACCTCCTCATCATTTTCTGACTCAGATTCGGAGCTGATATCAATTGAAAGTTCATAAACCAAATCCATTTGAAAATCGAAAGGCAAGAGACACGTCACCTAAGAACTGTAGGCTCAAACTGCGTTTCAACTTGCGGGGATCCACCCACCCGCTGTTTTTTCTTACCGTGACTCACCATGTGTCACCTCACGACCTGCGTCTCAACTTGCGGCCGGCTTAAACGATGCGCTAAGGAAGACTATCGATTTCTCACGTCACGTTTCGACATCCCACATCAGCTTCAATACTGTCTTCGATATACAAACAGCTTGGCATCAAAGACATTTTATATCTTTGAGAAAGGAAACACGTTAATGAGATCAACTCAACAAGAAGGATTTGTTAATATACACCGATAAAATTAGACTGCTACAGAGTTTATGGAATTTTCCGAACTGTTGGTTGGAGGCGTTTCTAAGGTAGCTATCCTTTGCTGGAGGTTCTGAACCTGAAATAATATTCGTAATAGTTCAATCAAAACCATTTTTGAAAACATAAAAATTAGAAAATTATAGAGAAGGAATAAAACTTGCAGATAATGATAAAAAAGCCTGACCTGATAATGATAAAATTGTGAGAGAAAAATCAAAAAAATTATTTTGATCATTGAAAAATGTTCCTTGGGAGAAACAAAAACCCCGATTTCTCTCTAAAAAACATGAGGTTATGTGAGAAAATAGTTCACATGAAAGTTGTATATCTTTTCATCACTTGAAACTATTAGATTTTTTTAAATAGGAGGTTTAGTTTTACTGCAAGTTTATTCTTCCTGGTATTAGCATCAAATATTCTTCGATCAGTCATTATTATAAAAATTCTATAGTTACTATGATTATGTGTGAAAATAAATTAATTACCTGTGCTGTGTGTTTTTCTACCATGATAAACATCTGATGTTCCATTTTCTTAAACTTAGCTTGATATTTCTTATTATTTCTATCTACAGTGTCGATTAATATGCTGAAAAAGATAATGATGATTTAGAACATACATAAGATGAAACAGTATTTGGATTTGGAAATTTTTGGCATATAAAAATGTATTCTAAAAATAGTTTTTTCAGTTTTTTATGAACTGCTCGAGTATACAGCTGGATAAAAAAATGTGCTCGAAAACTTTCTAAATATTAAAGATGAGGAATCGTTTATTTTGATAGACTACTAGCTAAAAATGTACCACCTATAAGGCTAAGGAAAAATAAGAACGTATCAAATTTGATCTGTCGATAATGCTGATGTATATAAGAAGTATCCCAACTGGTTGGTCTGTCTGGCTGAAGTGAACTGAGCTGAACTGAACTGAAATGAGATGAACTGAAAAATTCACCTCAAAAATGTCTGAATAATCCATGAAAATGTATTCATAAATAGACCTTCACACAGTCCAAAAAAATATGATATAATCAGTATTAGGAAGTAATACCCAATTAGTACTACTCAATTAGATAACGCTCTAATAAAGTCTTTGTTTCGTCGTATGAACTGTTTCTGAATTTTGGAATTAACCCTCAAATCGACTTCCCGAGCAAGTTCGCAATGTCGCACGACCAGTCAGAACAAAAAGAATACAGAAATAAGTTGTTAAGAAATAAGAAAGGAATGTTTGTCATTTCATTCATTCATTTCCTTTTGTATATCTCCTTAACGGATTTTTTTGTAGCAAAAATCAACATAAGTAAGTTTCAACTCACCTATTAGTATTGTTAAGATCTTGTACTATTTCCCGCCCTTCCAACAACCTGGCTTCGGCGTTCTTAGTGACCTGCTCCAAAGTCGTCACTAATTCTTGTAACCTAACTTTCAGTCTTGCCTCTCTCGCCAAAGCCTGCATCAGTTCGAGTTCCACCCCCTGCGCATGTTCCGCGTCAGAGTAACCCCTCTCCTGAAAGACATTCGAAAATGATTTCAATAATCAGAGCACTCGAGCTGATTGAAATTTCCGAGAATTAACCAAAAATATGAATGTGCGAGTCTTCCTTTCGAAAAGTAATCTACCTTGTTTTGAGTCGCCAATGCAAGGAGCGCTTCTGTGTCTTTCAACTGCCCTTGGAGATTCTTCAGCGCAGCGGACTGGGCCTTCTGCTGCCCATCGGCGTACCTAAGCTTAAGTTCAATTGCACTTTTTTCTTTCTCTAATACAAATAGTTTGGACATCAGTTCAGCCTTGTCTTCTCGTAGACCCATCAATTCCTAAATCATATAAAAACAATGTTTCATTCTTCACTAATTTTCTTTCAATGAGAGAATACTGAATTTGGTTACTCACCTGCATCAAAACAGCCATTTCAAGGTCCATTTTTCTAGCTTCTTGACTACTGGAAGGACGAACAGGTACATTCTCTACTTGAGTTGATTCTAAAACAACGTACGTTCCCTGGATATTGCTCCTCTCTGCTTTGAGCCTCGATACGTGCTCCCTCAGTCTCATTTCATGACCAGGAGTCCATTGTTCTTCGCTGAAAAAAGGAAGCGTAACTGAATTGCTGGCAATTCAGTTGTCTCCTATAACTATTGACTGATGTTAGGTATATCCGCCACCTTATATACAAAAAACTGTACAGGGCCCAACACTGTGCCTTGTGATACTCCAATTTTTACGGTAAAATCGGCACTCATCTACTCTTCAAATTCAACTCTTTGACATCTGTAGATTGGCTTGTTTTTCAAAAAAGTAGAATTAAACCAAAGATGCCATTTATTCAATTTAATACTACGACGGAATCTTCTGCCCGTTTTCATTCTACTTCATCTACACTGGAGTGGATCTTAATATCTCTCGAAATTTCCATATTTTTTGTTGATTGTAATAGTACCCGAATTGTTTTTCACGAAAATATAATAATAATAATAATCGTCTTTATTGTTACTCAGCTGTAGTTACATACCAATATTTAAATAAATAAAGAGCTAGTTGATAACATAACAAAAGGCGAAGTTCAACTCAGTCAGCACTAGTGCTACTGAGTTGTTCTTCCACTCAACCTCGAAAAGATTCTACCTAAGCTGAAACAAAAAAAAAAAAGTAATACATATAATAAAAAAAAATGGAATTGTTCCAATATCTATTTGGATGCTGGAGAGGACGTCCATTACTAAGACTTATTTTGGTCTCATAATGATAAAAGTGTATAGGGTTGGGCAGTTTATATTTGAAGTTGGCTTTCGAACAGAAGTAGTTTGAATCTTTTCCGTAAAACAGATAGTTCTGAATTTCTTATTTCTTTTGGTAACAGGTTGATCACTTGGCAAATATTATAGCTAAATGGCTATCGCTTGAAAAATTCAGTTTTAAAACTAGGTGGGGTAAGAGTACCCTTAAATCTGATGTTCAGATTGTGAACATCAGTACGAAAAGTGATTTTTCTGTACAGAGAAGGCGGCGTTTTGGTTTGTATAATTTTGTTACATAAATTAGCACAAAGTAGCAGCTTATAATAGCATGATTCACAGATTAGTCAATGTTCCTCTTTCAATAGATAATTTCAATATGGAACTTAATATCATTGAACAAATTGCGATTAACAATGGGTTTAAAGCCGAATCAATAAACAAAATACTTGCCAAGAAAGTCTACGAAAAAGCGATTCGAGACGTTTTTCCTATTGATAAGGTAGATATTCAAAATTATAGAGCTTTAACGTATTTTGGACAACTAACGGAAAAAGTGGCTTCATTTTTGGGGAAACGAGATATTAAAATTGCATATAGACAAGTAATACGTTGGGAAAGTTAGTTAAAAATAATAAAGACGAAACATCCGAATTCTAAAAATCAGGAGTATATAAACTAAAGTGTGGAACGTGCCCTAAGATATATATTGGTCAAACGACCAGGACATTCAGGAATCGAATCCAGGAACATCATACGAGCTATGTAAATAAAAAAACGAATTCAACATATTCAAATCATCTTCTAGAATAAAATCATATCTTTGATGAAGAGTTCGAAATTTTGCACATAGAAAATAAAGGTTTGAAACTGAATCATCTGAAAGCAACGGAAATTAATAAACTTAGAAATTCAAACATTCTAATGAATGACCAACTGGATTTGAATATTGTTTTCTTTGAACTTGTTTTCTTGAAAACCGAGAAAGAATTATTATTGATGTAGATGTGAGGTAATATGCTTCAGGTGATCATAATTGAACAGGTACCTTAGGTAGAGGTTTAGGTAATTTTTTGTAGGTAGTCTCAATGGTTACCTGTAGTATATAAATACCAATGTAAGAACAACTTGAAGTATAAATCACTTGAAAAAGATACTGTGCTAGCGAAACATGTTGTGATATATCTTCCAAAATAAAGTTTGTGTAAATCAAATCGTGAGGTGTTGTTTTTGAAAATACCTACTATGGATCTTCATCAAGTAACGGCCGAATCAATCAGAAAAAAAAAGTTTATCGCCCCGTTAAATCACGAACGAAACAACGGCATGGACTTATGAGAGTTTTCTTGTCAGAATCATCCCAGTAAATATCTACATGAAATAAGGAAACACTCAGTATGTATAATGAAAGCCTAGTTGTTGCATGTTTACATTTATCATCCGAAAACCTTCACGATGTTAACCTCTGACTTACCTATCCACATTGGGACTGCTGTAAACATGATTCTGCCACGGCGACAGCAAAATGTCGGTGCTCTGATAGGAATCCAGATGATGCAGCAGTTGCTTGGCAACCGTTTCTGCAGCGCTTCGATTCCGAAGTGTCTCGGGGTCATCTTCTTTCAGGCTGAGTTCTGTTTCCAACAAAGCAAGAAGGACATCGTAGGCTTCTATCGCTCTATCGCTAATGCCGAGCGCTAATCTAAGAGCAATGGCGTTGGACTCATATTTGCCACACAACAAGGCTAATCTGCAAAAAAATGGAATTTTGAAAAACAGCAAGTCTTGTGCTCGATAGTATTTGACGAAAATCCATTCATTATGAGATTTTCACTGAGCAGTTTCACAAAACGCAACAAGTTTTTCGTCACACAATGGCTTCTTCAGGCGGGTTCAAATCGCAAGATCTCGGTGGCCAGTTCACGTGAGATGGCCATGCCCTCAAATCGCTAGTGCGGAATATTCGATGTGGCATGAGCTGTGTGGCATGTAGCGCCGTCCTGTTGAAACCACATGCCGTTGGTGTCCATATCATCCAATTCAGGCCAAAAGAAATTGGTAGGCATCGACCTATAGTGCTCGCCTTTGACAATGATGGCCTGGCCAACGTCGTTCTCAAAGGAATATGGCCCAACGACGCCGCCAGCCCAAAAGCCACACCAAACAGTGACTTTTTCGGAATGCATTGACGCTCTTGGATCTCACGTGGATTGGTATTGTCCCAAATTCGACAATTTTGTTTGTTCACGTAACCATTCATCCAGAAATGGGTCTCAACGCTGAAAATGACTATTTGATGAAAATTAGGGTCGGTTGCCAACTGTTCCTGAGCCCATCCAGCGAACAAACGTCGTTGCCTATAGTCGTTTACTTTTAGTTTCAGGGCCAGTTGGATTTTGTATGGGTGCAGGCCCAAGCCCAAACACAAAAGTCGCCAAGTTGTGATCTACAAAGGAAAAGTTCTTGTGAGCGACGCGAAATCGACTGCCTTGGATTATGTTGCACACTCTCTCAGAAAGTGTGGATGTTTTCAGCACATCTTACGTTTCGCTCAACAAGATGGCCGCTATCCATTGTCAAAGTTTGTAAGTCCCTGTTGGAAGACCCTTTACATTCAAACATATATCCAAAGAGGGCTCCAATTTGAAAATCCTACTGTTTTTCTGTGTAGAACTGTCATTAAATTAGGTAAAATTGCTTGAAATTGGATGAGCTAGAGGTATGGATACTTTTGAAAGACTAGAAATGCAGTGTTTGGCATGAGAACTAATCGAGATAGCATACACTGTTCAATATTGAAAGTATACTCAATATACAATATGGACAGTATATATTGTTCGATATTGAAAGCATATTCAATCTAGACCGCATTTACTGTTCAATTTGGAAGCATATATAATATGGACAGCATATATTGTTCAATATTGAAAGCATAATATAATATTGATAGCATATACTGTTCAATATTGAAAGCAAATAGAATATGGACATCATATACTGTCCAATATTAAAACCATATACAACATACAATACGGACAGTAAATACTGACAGTAAATACATATAATGATCAATATTGAAAGCATATACAAAATGGAAAACATATAATAGTAATAATGAATTGAAGAGAAATGAAACTTTCTATGTTTTTTACCACTTTCATTAGTAACTAACGTTACAGCAGTTTTGTATTGTTGTATAAGTTTCAAAATGTCCGTATAGGAGGAAACTGCGGTTACGTTAGTTACAAATAAAAGTGGTAAAAAGCATAGAAAGTTTAATTTTCCTTTTCTTCATTATGATTTCCTAGCACGTAGTAACGGCTACATCCAATAATTCATATAATATTCAATAATGAAAGCACATAAAATGAGGGCAGCATATACTGTTCAATACTGAAAGCATATGGGTAGCATACACCGTTCAATATTGAAAGCACGTTCAATCTAAATAGCATATACTGTTCAATTTGAAAGCATATACAATATGGACAGCATATGCTATACAATATTGAATGCATATACAATATGGACAACATATAATGTTCAATATTAAAAGCATAATACAATATGAATAGCATATAATGTTCAATATCAAAAGCAAATACAATATGGACAGCATATACTGTCCAATATTGAAAGCATATACAATATACAATAATGAAAGCACATACAATAAGGGCACCATATACTGTTCAATACTGAAAGCATATGGATAGCATACACTTTTTAATTTTGAAAGTATACTCAATATACAATATGGACAGTATATATTGTTCGATTTCGAAAGCGTATTCATTCTAGACGGCATATACTGTACAATATTGAATGTATATACAATATGGACAGCATATAATGTTCAATATTGAAAGCATATATAATATGGACAGCATATACTGTTCAATAGTGAAAGAACATACAATATGGGAAGCATATAATGTTTCCCAGTTAAATTGAAAAAAATTAAAGAAAATTGCGTGAAACAATACGTCAGAACTGTTAAAGTGACATGTCAATGTAACATTTTCAGCGATTATATTCAGGATTATGTTCAGGTCGTTTTCAATGATCAAAATGTTGGCATTAACAGCGTAACAATTCGCATGTTTTGGATGATTCATTGATGAATGAAAAAAGATGATTGGCAGATAAGAAATGGACCTAAAATTGATTCGAGAAATTTTCAGTGCCGTACTACAATTCTGGTTGCTTCCCAGATAGAATTTGGAAAGTTCAACTACGTTAAGTACGTTAAAATGAAATGGAATGGAATACAAAATGTTTAAAATTGACGTATCGTTCTCCTAACCTGTGTATCGGCACTATATTTCCATATTTCACGTCGACGTTATTATCTTCACGGTACATCTTCGGATCGCAATCAGCTTCTATGTGGGATTCGGGCGAGTCGGCGTTTTTTCCGTCGGTAACAGTCTCCTCATCGGCAGTTTCTTCGATCCTGGATAGTGCCAGGTGTGCAAGCCGAACGTGCGCTTCGTGCAATTGGTTCTTCAGGCTGGCGATCTCGTTCTTGAGAGGTTCCACCATTTCGGAGTACGGAGACAGTTCGGTGTTTTCAAGATGGGAGGAAACTAGTTTCGGCTCGGGTAGTTCTTGCGGGCTCTCGGAAGACTGAAAAAGAATACACGAGGGTCATTTCTCAAGTAAGAACTGTTCTGTAATAGAGCGAAGAGCATCTCATTCATGAACGTAAATTGCAGCACGAACTGCACCACTTCACTTTTCTACATAGTTACCCTCGATATTTAAAATGTCAAGTCTTTTGAATCTCATCATCATAGAATTCTACCACCTGACCATCGAAACAGTTAGTAACTGTTTATTTCCAAGTGTCATCATGTTCTAAGCGATTTCCACCAAGAAACTCCTCAAGTTTTGCAAAAATACAAAAGTCTGATGCCATTATGTCAGGGCTGTATGGTGGAGGATCCCGGAGGATGTACCTAGACCAACCTCTAGAGTGTTTAATCCTTTTTATCTGCCAACGCCACGTACAAAAATTCTGAAACGTTCACCTCTGCATAACATGTGTGTCAAATGCAATTCTGCAAGTTGTCAGCTCGACATTTTTTACTGTTCCATCTCTGAAATTATGTCTTTTCACTTCAGCTGAGTCTATATGTATTGTATTTATCTTATAACTTATTGTAATTGGTTTGTATTGTGATTTGACTTACATCCCTGTTCTGTAGAACAATGAATAAATAAATAAATAAAAATAAAATGAATGGGTGTATCAGTTTCACAAGAAAATATAAATATCTAGACATTAACAATTGTAGTGTGGTCAATAAAATTTAAAAAAATTAAATGATCAATGAAGAGCTATACTCACAGGCATTTTGTTATCGATATCTGACAATTCATTATCGAGTGGTTCCAATTCACTGACTTCCAATGGGCATGTCATCGATTCATCATGAACACTTGTACAAGATTCTGAAAAAAAGCGCAAAATATAAAATATATAGAAAGTATTGGCAGGTTCTTCGGAAAAAAATTATAGGGACGCTCATGTACAGATGAGAAGTTCAAGAATCCAGTGAAATTTTCACTGATAAAGTATAACTTGCATATAATACGAACTATTTCACTGGAACATCGCCTTAGAACTTGAAACTGCCACGACTTTGAAATATTAACGGTTCCTCTCAGAAGGAAAACTAACTAGTTTTTTTCGAGCGAATAAAACCCCGTTTTCCAAATCCAATTGCCGTTACTTCTTCCGACAAAACAGGCACGTACTCCATCGCATCGGGTCTATCGCTACAGAGATAATTACATTTCGGCGTGACTGGCAAAAGAAAATTCGAAGAAAATAACTTTGTCATTCCGGATACCATAAATAGAATATTAGCTTCGCTTAGTCTATGTAAGCATTAGCGAAATATTCGAAACTAGTTGTTATAGATATTCATTCAGTTCATATAAATATAATATTTTGGTGGTCTCAATATTTATATTGGTTGTTTGAAAAGTTTCGTCCGTTTTGCGGTTGTGTTTTTGTAGCTCCATATCTCAATGAAATATGTATTATACTGTGTAATGTTGTGTACTGATCGATAGAGAATTTTGTATTCTATACATTGATGCTGTTCATTTTTCTTCCACATTTGAATTTTTTGCCTCTTTTCAGCTTATTAATATATGATGTCGTATAGCAATTTTCGGCCTACTTTTCTCTACGAATTCAAATTGAACCAAAGCGCTGCTGAAACAGCCGGAAAAACTAACCAAACATTTGGCAACGGTAATGTTCTTGTGATACACTGTTTGGAACCTTTGGTGTAGTAATGAATATTACTGGAGTTTTTTCCCAACACCAAACCGTTATTTTAACACCTCGACACGTGTTTCGATCACCAAGTGATCATCTTCAAGAGGAAGATCAAGAGGAAGATCTGCAAAGTGACGACTCTCAAATGATCTAGTTATATTATTGATAACAAATATGAAGAGAAATGGTCCGAGCACACTACCTTGGGGTACACTCTCTTCAACTTTCAAAGAGGAACACTCACATACAAAGGCATTCATATTATTTTGATAGTGGCAACAAGAAAAAGTCCTGCTAATGTAATGCATTTCCATAAATACAAAAATGAATGAAGTTTTTGGGGTACCATTTCAATGTGATTGATATCTAACGCCTTTTTCAAATCGAACAGAACATAGGCAGTTTGTTTTGATCGGTATCAGGAAAAACGAAAAATATATGTATACAATAGAACAATCCCCTCTGTATCTCTTGGCAAGTACTCTGTTATTAGTGAGCTTTTTTAAAAACCGTCGAGAAAGCTGAGAGATATGCTATAATTAGATACTTCAGTGGTGTCACCTTTTATGAATCTGTCTGATGGCAACTTGTTTCAACGACCTACTAAAATATCCAGTGACGAAGAAATGATTCAAAAGATGGAAACATAACCTATGAGAGTTATTCGATAGAATAACTTCATAAATTTCTAAAATAGTAAGAGCATGGGAACGATTACATATGATAATGGCAATAATGTTATACGGCTTGTTTGTACTTTGAAACGGAATGAAGTAGAGTTGGATTTGAAAGTATCACATCACAGGCAAGGCAAGAGATCCTCTTTAAACGAGTTTTCAACAATTTAGATGACCTTGGTTTTTTAATTTTTGCTATTCTCAGGTCAAGTGAGCTAAAGTCGTAGAGATTTATTATGGCCTACCAGAATAGCGTCCTTAAGACCTTGGTCTTCGGCGAGTCTTGGCCTACACCTGCCAATATAAAGGAGAAGTCCTGGAACGGACAGAATGGACGATGATATAGCAGGACAACTCCTCGGTCAACTCTACAGACACAAGAGAATACCTTTCCTCACAATATGGGAAATGATCACTGGTTAATGACCATCAGCAAATTAATAAATATGGAAGAGGAGGTGTTCAACTTACCTGACGCTTCGTCTTCTTCAGCAATTGCCATCGCTCGTTGCTGATGCAGCTTTCGGGTTAGTTCGGCAATAACCGAATGCAACTCTGTAAGCTGCTCCTCATACCGTTGCGCTTGCTCATCAAGTTGCTGCTGCAGCTTCTCCTGAAATGAAAAAAGAGATTGATTACACTCCCAGTTACGGTTTCTCAATCATGTTTCATCTCAATTGTTTCGAAATATAATGTATAATGAGTAAAGCTATAGCTTGTAGCAGCATCCATCGTAACAACCCATGCTAGATGGTTATGCATGGTTATGCCTTCAAGAAGCCCGATTTGAACCAAATTTAGCATATATGGGATGAGCTAGGGTGATAAATTGGGATTCGTCAGATTGTTCCAAAAAATTTTGCAGCTAGCTGATGGTCTTGTTGAGAAATGGAACAACATTCCACAACCACCACCACATACTGTGGTACGTGAATACTTGAAACGTGTTCTAATGAGAATCATGTTTGAGCCTCCCAAAAGCCAAAATATGAACCCAAATTAGCATATATGAGATGAGCTAGGGCTGTGAATTGGATCTCGTCGGATTGTTCCACAAAGTCTTGCAGCTAGCTGATGATCTTGTTGAGGAATGAAACAATATTCCATAAGAAAGGGTCAACTTTCATTGAGGGATGAAAACAACCACCACATACTGTCGTAAGTGAATACTTGAAACGTGTTCTAATGGGTTAGGCCTCCCAAAAAGCCCGGGTATGAATCCAATTTAGTATAAAAACCAATCAGGGCGTTTTGAAAGAGAAACAACAAATAAATACGTTTTCATCATCTGATGCAAACAATTCTACTAACATCAACAAATCTATTCCAGGCAAGAGCTATCTGTCTTAATAAATTATTGTTCAATCTTTTATGATTCTTGGATTCTTCATTGTTGTCATCAAACCTCAAACAAATGAAAGGTTGACAATCTGAACGACGGAAAAATTGAACAGTAGACGCGTCAGCATAACAAAGTGGGAAAAACACAGTTCATAGATTCTATAAACACCGCCAATTTTACTGGGGAGAGAAATCATTCGCTCCGCCTATTGGAAGAGAGTTAGAATTAACGACTCAGAAAATAAAAAATGTATCAAGATATATTCCGATATAAATGTCAATTCGTACGATATAAATGTTCAGAAAACAAATATTCTTTGTGTATGAAACGTATCTGAATCCAAAACGACTTCTTCAGCACTAATAGTTAACGTTCCTTCATTCCACACCGTTCCGACATTCGATATCATCCTCCATCTAATCCCATCTTTCTATTGATGAGCTCTTTGTGTGTAATCGACCCAACTAATTGGATGATTGCATAGCTTAGTTTCATAAAAGAATTGTTAAATGATGAATTGATACCAAGATATAAACCTTTTAGATGACTGTGGAAAATAAAGGATCAAATACCTATTTGAAACCGAGACCATCTAATTAATAATTCCAAATACTTCAACATGATTATTGATTTCACCAACTACGCTCGTTTTGCATAATCTAGTTGAAGACTACAAACATCAAAACATTTAAGTTCAATGAGGAACGTGAAAGGTCTTCCATTAGGCGCTTCCTATGTTGGAATTTAAATGAAAAAAAAACGATTTATTTCCAACAGAAATACCCAGTTACAGGAAATGCTATTATTACAGAGTATATATGAAAAAAATATAAAAAAATATTGGAATATAGTTATGTATAAAAGTAAATGCTAAAACAAAGTATATTCTAACTAGGCGTCCAAAATAGCCGTAACATTGGTGAGTAACTGTCAACAGAGGAACAACGAAATTCACTAGCTTTCATTTACTCGTGCTGCCATCTACATGTTGAGATCGGAAACTTTTCAGACCACCCTCGTACTTTCCCAACTAATGCGAACAGTTTCGCTCCAGCTTTTCAAATTACCCAGTTTCGAAGCTAACGCAACGATTTCCGCTGAATCGATAATGATCTCAATAACGTGTCGTTCAGCATTTGCATTCCTCTGTCCCGGGCCCTCAAGAGATCAGGCTTTATTGCGACCTATTTTTCTATTAGGATGTTTGTGTGTCGACAATGCCGATGTCGTCTGGGAAATTTCCATATTACACCCGGAACAGAGACGGTCGGCCCACTGTTTGTTTATTGATTGCATTGTTCAAAGTTTCAGTCTCGAATTGCGTATTCGCGGAGAATAATTAATTGTAATTTTTGTACAGACAAACTAGGTTCTTGATTGTGAAGACGAATGGTGAAATTTGAAATCAGCAGGGTATTTTGTTTCAGAAACTGGAAAAGACTGTTTACGGGGTTTGTTAAAAAAATAAAGTGGATATTCATTTTTCTCCAAAATATTAATAGATTCATCAATTTCATCACAGTACAATCATATTATGCCACTGTCAACATATCAAATGTTTTTGAACTTTCTATTCCATTTTTTACACAAAATTTCATGAAAATTCTTTGATCCATTCCATTTTTATCAATAGCAGAAAATCGGCAAACACGCAAAACACACACTTCTAACTTTCATGCCTCTCATTAACGAACTAAACATGCTAATCAGCTGAAACCATAAACATATATTCGAGACGAGTGTACCAACCGAATGTAACCCGCTAAATTTCAACATTCACCTTATTATTTGAACAAACCTCGTAATTATAATGGAATTGTTTTCGAACAACATAATAACGGGTGGTTTAGGATTTGATTTTCGTACAAAAAATTTGAACTAATGAAATATTTATTGAAATCGATAGAAAGATCAATATAATTTAAAGTTTGAAGATGATTTCATGCAAATGTTGTCCGCGGCTCCGCTTTAGATGGTCCATGCGCAAGGTCCAATTTTGGCACACTCTCTCTAACATATCGACCGGTATTACACGCCAGAGCGTCAGTCGCTGCTGGTTCATCCCTGTAAACATGGTCCTTAACATGACCTCACAAGAAATAATCCAAAGGCGTTAAATCACACGATCTAGGAGGCCAATTGACGGGTCCCAAACGTGAGATAAACTGTTCACCGAAGGCGGCTCTCAATTGGGCCATTGTTTCGCGTGATGTGTGACATGTGGCACCGTCTTGTTGAAACCACATGCCAGACATGTCCAATTCTTCCATTTTGGGCAACAAAAAGTCGTCAGTCATCACACGGTAGCGCTCGCCATTCACAGTAACGTTCCGGCCATTGTCGTCTTTGAAGAAGTACGGCCCGATGATGCCACCGACCCATAATCCACACCAAACAGTGACTTTTTCGGGATGCTTCGGTAGCTCTTGCAATGCTTGTAGTTGGTCTTCACTCCAGATGCGGCAATTTTGCTTGTTAAATGTGGATTTTCCTCCAACATTGTCAGCGCCCATTCACCAAATGTTAGACGTGGGAGGTAGTGTGGCTTCAATTCTTGCACCAGCTGTATCTTATAAGGTTTAACACCCAAATCCTCTCACAAAATTTTCCACATAATGGAGTAACAGAGGCCCAATTGCTGCGAACGGAGGCGAATCGGCATTTTACGGTCATCACAAACACTGGCGGATACAGCCGCAATATTTTCTTCGGTCCTCACTCTACGTATGCGTGTTGGTGGTGTAATGTCCAATAATGTAAATTGGGTTCGGAATTTAGTCACCAGCTTCCGAATAGCTCCCTCAGTAGGCCGACGAAACTGCCCGTAAATTGGAAGAAGTGTACGATGCACTTTCTTCACGGAGCATGAATTTTGATAATAGAATTCAATAATTTGCAAGCTTTGTTCATTCGTAAGTCGGTTCATGGTCAAATTATAGACCAAACTGAACAAGTTAGACAATGACACAAGACACGATTCACGCGTGATCTGTCAAAAACAGTATTGCCAAAAAGATACTAGCAACTCATTACATTATAGAAAAAGGAAATCAGTGTCCAATTTACTAGCAGAAAATAATCACGGAAGAGAAGTTATTTCTCTATGACTCCAAGTTTGTAGAAAAAAAGCATACTTTTCATAACCAATCAGGAGAATTTTAAATAATTTGGGACTTGAACGTTCGTGGAACTACCGGTTAAAAAAATTAATGAAAAAAATATAAAAAAATAAATAACACAACACCTTGGTATTAGCACCTTTGTAATAGGTTAGGTTAGGGTGCAATGCTGATACTGAATATAAATTTGCCCAACGGAAATTTAAGGGCAAGGAGAAACAGTTATGAAAAGATGATTTTCATTTGTGAACGAACTAATTTTATCCCCTGGGGTAAGCCCCAGTTGGAATTTTTAAAACTTCTTTCTTATTGCACATCTACAACATAAAACAAACCTACACACAAAATTCCAGCCTCCGAAAATATAGCGGTACGGAGAAACAGTGTAAAAAGGTAATTCTCATATGTAAACGCGCCTCTTTCATCCCCTGGGGGGCGCCCCTTTGGAATTTTCAAAACTTCTTTCTTATTGCACATCTACAACATAAAACAATCCTAGATATAAAATTTTAGCCTCAGAAAATAAAGCGATACAAAGAAACAGTGCTGAAAAGTAATTTTTATATGTAAACGCTCCCCTTTCATCCCCCAGGGAGCGGCCCAGTTGGAATATTTGAAAATCCTGTATTAATGCGCACCTACGACGTAAAAAGCACCCATATTCCAAATGTTAGCTTCCTAGGACTTAGCTGTACGAAGAAATAGAGATGAATATGTGAGTGACTCCCGCATTTATAAGCATAGATTTGTGGCCAAAATTATTTCAGCGCAAACACAAGTTCACTTCTGTGGGATATATGTATAGTTTGAAAAGTTTGAAACCAGAACTTTCCTGAATCAAAGTTCCCCCGGAAAATATAATTTTCCAGCCGTTAACTTAAAATACATTGGCACCTCAAGTGGTTATTTCTGAACGATCCAATAAAATTACTTTCCGATATTTCCCTCTACCTAACTTCTCGAGAGTATTCCTACCCGTCGTTCTTTTTGCGATCTCGAGACGTTTCATTAAAACTTCATTAAATGTCTCGGTTGCACCATTATACTCTGTATACTATTCTCGGTGTTCTTAGGAATTTTGTTTAGTTTTAGCTAAAGTTGCAATTTAAATCGGATTGTTCTACATTTCAGCAGCTTATTTCTCAGTACTCG